ACTGGGTTTCCCTTTTTATTCTGGAAACACAACGCCTTGATAAAACTGATGAGCTTATTTGAAAATGTTTGAGAATTCATCTGTACAGGTGATGCTGAGTATTGTGACAGCTTTTGAATATCTTGACCTAGGTGATGGTCCAGTTAGAACTTGGTTAAAAGCCTGATTAGATCTCATAAGAGTTCACTGATAACCTCCTTGGAGTTTGCATTGTGAAGTCCCTTACTGTTTTTTTTTTTAATATTTGAGCAAATATGCATTGTACCTTTCTTCTCATTAGAACTACTGTCAGTTTTGGAGGTTTTTTGTTTGTTTGTTTGAATTTTTTTTTCCAAATTCTTATGACCCTATTTCTATTTGTGGTTTTGGGAAGGATTCTGGGAGAGGTCATGTGGAACAGTGTCTGCAAACATCAAAGGCAAATCTCTTTTGGTTTTTAGTTCGTCTCTTTCATCCTAAAAGCATGCCAAGAGTGGTCACAGGAGCCTTATGGAAGTGTTGCAGTAGAGTGGAGAGGGTGGTTAAGAACAATAAGTTGGATCTGTGAGCAGAAATAGAATGCTGACAGAAGTTGAGTGCAGATTGCACTCACAAATCAAATCACAGTTGATTTAAAGATGCACATTTTTTTATGTGGCTGCCTGCACAGTCACATCCTCTCTCGTGTCCATTATCTTCTTAAAAACATTCCTTTTTCTTCATGGCAGTCTTTGTATGTCATTCCCAGTTCAGCTGACAGGACCAAGGTTGCTGCCTACTTTTTTGGTTGAAATAACAGCTAATGGAAAAGACAAGGAATGGTGCTGGAGTATAAAGCCACTGATAAGATGTTGTACTTCAAGCTGATAAGCCCTAATTACTGGATGGGAAAATCTACAGAAGAGCTCTTGATAACAGCACTTTAAATAAAACTGGAATAACAAGATGTAAATTACTCTGAAGTCACTGTTACTGAGTTGGGATTACCTGGTTGTGTCCCTTGTCCCTTCAGATTGACATATTCCCACATGAGAAAAGGTTCCTGTCAGCAGAGACCTCAGGGGTTTCCTCACACCTCCCTGTAGCCGTAACATAGTACCATGGAAAGAGGATGGAGTAATTAATAATTAATAAGATAACCAGATGCATATAGGAGCTTAAATATAAAATTTATAATATTTCTTTAAACACATCTAAATTAATATTTATAAAGAATAATGTTTCAGGTGTATGAGCAGTAACACTAAGTAATAAAATCAAGTCCACTGGCACTTCTAAAGATCAACCCTTAATATTGCTCTTTTAAGTAGCATAAAAAGAATTTAAAATAATTCATAGTGTTAATAAGTTCATCAGGATATATCGGGACAATCTTTTCCCATGAGCAACAGACAGATGCTGCTCCCCAGCATTTTAGGTGATTGTTTAATGCTGGACTACTTCTTATGATAACTCATTTTTTGTCTTTAGTGAAAGAAGGGGTTGGCTTTTTGAACCATCAGAGCAACTGGCCCCAAGGAATGAAAGAAATCAAGCTCATGCATTAAGTGAATGGTAGAATCTAGCAAATTGTATCAACTAGAAATCCCTTTTAAAAATTCTCATTACTCAAAAGTCTGGCAGAGCCACATCTAGCTAATGGTCTCTGTTCCCTACAAAGGCTGAAAGTGTGGTCTTTGAAGAAGAAATGTCACAACTGGAGCAGGTATTCTGCTTAAGGGCTGACTTCAAATGGGCCTCAGAGTACTGGGGAACAGTCTGGACAAGCTGAAGAGGAGCATTTCATTCTGAAAGAACCATCAGAATTGACTTGGGAGTCCCAGCTCTCTGTCAGTCTTACTTAACTGACAGTATCAAGAGCTTTTATCTGGTTCACACTAAAAAAAGTGGGAAAATAGCACAGGATAGTATAGGAAAGAAAACTTGATAGTGAATACATTTTCAGTTAATGTATCTGGGAAATAGATTTTAAGACACCTTTTACTATTGCATATGTGGTAGGAAAATAAATTAGGATGGAACAACATTGACAAATATCTCAAGCATTTTAACAACATAAAATGGAAATAATACATCATACCTACAGGACTTCTTTGTGGGAATAAATAGATGTAGCTATTGAAATCCTTTTGGCATGGTATGTTTCAATGTTTATTTATTTAAACCATTAAAAGAAGTGAGATAATTCTATCCTTGACACTGTATATTGTTTTTCTAGTCAGTAGAATAAGTGAATGAAATCTTATTCTGTCAGAGTGTAGGTATTTCTGTCCTGAAAAACTACTAGAACATTGTCCACAGGGCAACATGAAACTTTCATTGATCTACCCATGGTGGAGAGTCTCCCTGTACAGAGCAATTTCACTATATTAGAGCATCACATCCACTGAATTAACTGTGTGTCTGATCTCGATGCCCTTCTTGAGGGCATACCCATTTCTTATCCTAGAGTTGGAATCTGCGTTCTTTTCCCTCACAAAAAGAGGTTTAGAGTGCATTGTAGAATTTTTCAGATAAACAGCTTTGCCATCCTGAGCTATGTTGAACATCTTTGGCTTTCCTTCCTTGAGGGAAGACAACAATTTTAGCCAACAGCTTTTTATTAGGTGTTTTTTTTTAGGTGTTTACTCATCTCACAGAGAGTCTTTAAGAGGACAACAGTATATTATGTTTTCTCCCAGGGATATGTCTCTTAGTCACAACTTCCTCTCAGTTCTTGGAAGAGATATAGATTATCTGGTACCTAGGCTAAATCAAGTTCATCTCATTTCAGGACATTTCTTTATCAGGCCTCTTCAGAAGGTAAGATTAATGTATACTGTCTTCATGGAAAAATACTTGGAAAGGCTGGATGCCTACAGAGTTCCCGCACTTAAAATCTCTCCCTGCCTTCTCTTGGCTAATTTTTATTTCTACAGAAGTCTCATACATCATGCCAAGAATATACTGCTATAAATATTCCTTCAACATTTCTCTATTGCAAGTTGTAGTGTACAATTGAAGTGCCTGATGTCAAGAACTAAACTCCAAGTCTGCATGGGAGACAAGATCCAAGACTCTATGAAATAACCAGAAAAAAAACCCCATCAAATTTAGTACTTTGAGAGTCTTTAGGGACTTTTCTACAAGAAATCAGGTCCACTTAGATTTAACTATGTGGGTTTTTAAAAAATAATTAAATGTGGATTTTACTGGCACATAGGCAGAAAAAAGGTAGACATTATTGTGAGACTGTGAAAAGAATACAGTTTGTCCTGTGCCTGGGGACTGCACAAGGCTTCTCTTCCTCAGTGAGCTCCAGTCACCCATCCATCACACACATACCTGCCCATGCTTCCACTGGGGGAATAAAGTAATGGAGAGCAATACAGGATATGTCTCTACCTATCTGCTCTTTGTGTACCCTCTGGGGATTTCAGATGGAAAGCAGCAGGCAGCTGTAGCTTTATGAGGTGATGAACCTCTCTTCTAACTTGCAGAAGAGGTTTCTGATATCTTGATCAATCCACTGCTATGCTGAAGTGCTTGTAGCCTGTGATGGGCTGGCCTTGGCCAGCTGCCAGACACCCATGCAGCCTCTCTCTGCCCTCCTCAACTGCACAGGGGGAGAAACCACAATAAAATGCTCATGGGTCGAGATAAAGAGAGGGAGATCACAAAGCCAATGTATTATTCAGGCGTGTTCAGTTCTGATACTCTTTGTCAGCAAAATGACATTTCTGTCATGAGGGCAAGAAAACAAATGAAAAAAATGATTGCACACTACAGCCCCAGGGGTTCCCAAACTATTTGGATTATAGAAAACTAGATATGAATTTGTTATGCCTGTAGAAAACAGATCTGGTTGCTTAATGTTGGCCTGAGCCGCTCAACAGCACTTAACACATCAGCCAAAGAAGGAAATATATTGTCTGCTAGAGGAGGGCTTTGTTTTACTTACTATAATTGAAAATACAGAAGACAAGAATGAAAATGAGAAAACAAGTGTCCCTTGTACCAACCTCAGCTTGTCTGTCATTCAGATTTTCCCTGTGGCATCTCTGTGGAGGCTTGGGGGCTAGCTTAAAAAATGCTGCCTCCTGGGAGCTGGTTTGCAAAACAGAGTTTGGGGCTGTATTTAGCCACTGGCACCAACAAGTCAACTCCATTTTGTCACTTTGCTTTCTATATTCTGTCATTTGGAGTCAAACTAATAAATGGGATACCAGTTCACTATTTTTTTTACCCTGGCTTTCTTGCCAGAGAGTTTTCCTTTTGAGATGGACCCTTTCCCCTCCTTATACTTTTTCTTCAGAATTTATTTCCTGGTTCTTAGCTTGCCCCAAGAATGCAATTTCTGGCTTGTATGAGATATATCTGTGATAACTTGTGGTTCTTCTTTCCCCATTATTTGAGATTGAGGTATAAAAAGAAAATGCAGCAAATTACTCCTCCTTTGCTGAGATTGTCTTCCTTTCCAAACTCTTACTATGAATTATTTACCATAAGCCATATTCTCTGTGCACAGATCTTACACATCTTATCTATTTATCCCTGGTTCTCAGCTTTTCATACACTATGAATAACTAAATGGACATGAGAGCACTTATGTTTCCCTGGATGCAGGAGCCTGGATGAAGTGACTCAGCCCCATCTCAGGGCAAGCATGGGCCAGTGTTTGCCTTGCTCCTTCCACTGGCAGAGTAGCATCCAGGAAATGCTCAGGCTTGTGGTCCAGTGCGAGCTGTGGCACACTCCGGGCAGGGTCCACACCTGGGCAGCTGTGTGTTCATGCAGATGAGACACACCATTGCCTTCAGACTTGATGTAGCTGCAGAGCCATAGCAAGGCAATATTACTATTATAAATGTCAGATCCTGCATTTAGAGTGGGGGTTTTTCATAACTTCTGCTTTTTCAAAGTGTCTTTTCTGTCTGCCCTTTATCAGTTTTGGTGCTTCTGCTGTCGTAAGTCTCAAATTGGAAATATATTAGTTGTAACAGCTCAGTGAATCATTATTTTTCTTATGTTTCTTTTTGCAGATGGCCTAGTCGCTGAAATTGAGAAAAAGATTACAGAAGCTTTTGAGGTGTTTGACCGTGAATCCAATAAAACTGTGGATGTCAGGTTTGTAAATATAATCACAAAAATATTATGGAATCGCAATAGAGATAATCAGCTCCCTAAACTGGCATCTGCTTTACCAGAAAATGTCATAGAAACAGTTCTTTTGGCCCTGTTTGGACAACTACGTGCATTGACCTTGAATGGATGCCAGATGCCCATGGAAGCCACTCCATCACTCCTTTCTTCAGTGGAATGTGGGAGTCTAATCTAACAAAAGGCTCATGGATCAAGATAAGGGCAGGGAAAGATCACTTACCAGTTACCATCATGGACAAAACTGACTCGACTTTGGGAAAATTAATTTATTACCAATCAAATGAGAGAAGGTATAATGAGAACTAAAACCAAGTATTAAAAACAACTTCCCTTCAGCCTCCTTCCTTATTTCTGGGCTAAACTTCATTCCCGATTTTTTATCTTCTCCCTGCCAGCAGTGCTGGGAGATGGGGGGGATAAGGGTTACAATCAGTTCATCACAGGTAGTCACTGCCACTCCTTCCTGCTCAGGAGAAGGACTCGTTACACTCTTCCCCTGTTCCAGCATTTGGTCTCTCCCATGGGACAGACCTCCATGCATTTCTTCCTATGGGTTCTTCCCATGGGCTGCAGTTCATCTGTTTCAGCCTGGGTCCCTTCCATGGGACACAGTCCTTCAGGAACAGGCTGTTTCAATGTGGGTCCCTTGCAGGGCCACAAGTTCTACCAAAAACCTGCTCCAGTGTGGTCTCCTTTCTCCATGGGTTCACAGGTTCTGCCTCCCTAAACTGGCACCTACTTTACCAGAAAATGTAATTGAACCAGTCCTTTTGGCCCTGATTGGATAAGTGTGTCTTTGCTCATTTAATAGACATTTTGCATTGTTCAGTGTTTGAGGACTGAAATTTACTTGAGAGAGGGATGCTGGGACTGGGGAAGTAAAGGGACAAGAGGGAGCTGGAAATAGCAAGAAGTCTAAGGCCACAGTTATGGCTAGCAAATAAATCCTTGCTCTGATAGCTCATTTGGCACTACAGGTCCTGGATCCTGTATGAAATCCCTGACTTTCAGGATGTCCCAGCACATCAAGGGGTGTCCCTGCCAGTTTGTGTCAGTTGCCTGCACTCAGTGGCAATGCATCCTTCCTCTGGAGTAATGTGGGTGGTGGATACTGCTCTGGCAGTGAGGTGTTTTCAGAAGACTTGGAAGAAACTTGCCTATTATTTGGTTATGAATAGTCATAATGGTAACAATACGAATGTAAAAATCATACTTGATAGCACCAGGTGGTATTTAGCTCAGTACTCTCAGCTGAGCTACCAAGTAGTTTCCTGGGGGAGGTATACAAGGAATTGAATAAATATACAGAAATATTCTTGTTGGTTTTTTACATCTGCTACATTATGATTTGAGTGGCCCCTGGTTAATTTTTTTTATTTGTGTTATGATAAATAGCAAACAATAGTTCTATATTAATCTTCTCATGAATGAATTCATACCTGGTTGTCACATTCATCTTCTATCCATAGTAATTTAAGGTTGAAGAGTCTGGATGTGTTTAATCACTTTGGAGATGCTATTCTATAGTTCTGGCCATTCTTTTTTGTTCCTCTTTTTGTTCAGATTTCTCCTTTTTGAAGTGGATTGACCAGAACTGGGGAAATGGTGCACTGATGGGAGTTTGGAGGGAGAGCTGCATGCACTGTACTTTTAGCATGCAACGTTATGGTGATGCCTTAAGTTTTAGCTTTTGTATTAGTATTTCTTATTAGTATATGATTAGTAATATTAAGTATATTTCATTATTAGTATGTAATCTGCACATAAAGTGTTAGCAAGTTCTCTTCACAGTTTAGTTAGACAAAACAATCCTTTTCCAGCCCAAGAACCAAGGATGCCGTTGCAGCTTCAGGCCCAAAAGTATAAACAGCAGTGAATTGAGGAGAGCAAACTGGGAGGATGGCCTCATAACCTGAAGCTGTAATTGGAGAATTAACCCCAATATGTAAATGTGCCAAAACTTATAAAAGTGTGAAAACTTTTGGACTGCTGTCCATCTTGGGCGGAGCCTTGGCTAGGTTCTTGCACTGTCCAAGGTGTATCCTTTGAAGGCCTTTTAATAAATCCCTCCTTTTTTCCTTTAACACTGCCTAGCCTCTGTTTTGGGTAGCCTCTCAAGGCATCAATGGAAAAACAGACAAAATACATGTCTGGGTAAGGAGGTAGAAGTTCAGTGGAAGATCAAATAATTTAGACTGATCAGGGCATAACTGCCTACAAGATACAGAGCTAAAGGATGTCAAATGGAAAAATTCCTAGGTGCTTTTAATTCTGGTATTTTTAAAGTTTGAATATTTGACAGTGCTACTTAATTTTAGCATAAACCTTCATACCCATCTGACTTATAAAATGCATAAACCACGTGTTTAAGTCTCAGGGAGCAGGTTCTGAGGTTATAAGCTGTTGTCATGAAAGTTTAATGGAATACTTTTTCATATTTACAATTACTATTTTTGGAAGAATATCCTTTTAATTATAAATCAGTTATTAAGTAGAAACACTACAATGGAGTGTAATAATTGGTAAAATTGTTGTCATTAGACATTCTTCATGAAGACAAATTGAAAAACATACTTAAATGTTCTGAACATCTTTTCTACAGTACAGAGAGGAAAGGGAGGTGGAAAATACGTTATGGTTATAGTAATGCATGTTTACTAATGCGTCTACATTTAAGAAATTGCAGGTATTGCATAGAAGTAATGGTTTTTCAGCTATATGTGGTGGGGAGAATATCAGGATATGTCTCCGTACACAGAATAGTTGCTGTTCCCTTGTTTGTCGAGTTCTGTAGGGGAGAGTGATCTCTTAAATCTCTTGGTCCATGCCCAGGGAGGTGCCTGATGCCCGGGGCTGGGGTTGTCCCAGTGTCCCCTGGTGCCCTGCTCCTGGCTGGGCAGTAGGATGGGTCCTGGCTGCCCAGCCCGGGGCAGAGCACCCCCCAGTACCACCCGCCAGTCCTGGGGTCCCCCAGCCCTCACTGCATCTTGGCATACTCACTGCTTGTTTAGTTTGTCATTTACATCTGCAGTCTTGGCTAAGCAGCTGTAGAATTTTCTCCACTTCTCTCTCCATTACTTACAGATACACAGCTTGGGAACATAGTACAACAATGAAATGACACAAGTAGACTCTTTTAAAAATGTATTCTTTCACGGACAGAGGACATCTGAAAGTCTATTTAACGTAGTAAATGCATAATTTCACATTAATTATTTTGTAGTACAGATACAGACAATGAACAAAAACTGATTGTCTAATTATTCCTAGGTTCATATTGCAAGGCTGTATCACAAATGGGATTATTAATGGCTGATTATCATGTATCAGAAGGTGGCAGCACAACACAATTCTTAACCACAATTGTAGCTGTATCACTATTATTGCCTGAAATATCAGATATTTGTGAGGAATGAAAAATGATACTGGTTTCACAGGCCAACATTGGTGTTCCATGACTCCTAGTATAAATTAGTAAGAAACTGAGCACGAGGAAGATGGTATTTTTTCATGCATGTTTCATGTCCCTCAGTCAAGGACTTTTGTGGTACTGTAAATCTTGTCACTGAAAGTGTTATATGTAAGGTGAAAACCATGACCAAAATTTTCATTGCATCTGTGTTACAAAACTTGTATGATCATAAGCTTGATTTTAACCACTGTTTTCATATTCTAGAAACTACACAGCAGAAACTGCAGCGCTGAACTAAGTGAGAGGAAGGGGCTGGGAGCAAAATAGTTTCCTATCAGATCCTTTAAACTACATGTTATTACGAAATGGGACCTGACTTTTTTTTACCACAAGCACTTCAAGCAACATCCTCGTGCTGGCACACATGCATACATCTAGCAGTGCCAGATTTTGCAGACTCTTCTAGGGTATGACTTACCTCAGTCACATCACAGCTCTGCTGGGTGTGAGTGAAGTGAGGCAGGAGGGTGATGGCAGCATTCCCATCCCTGGCAGTCTGTGAGAGCAGAAATAGTGTGGGACAACAAGGAGGCAGGACTTGTGTTGAATGTTGCTCTGGTAGAGGCAGGGAATAGTTACAAGTAGCTGGAAAATATGAGTGAGTGCAGGAGTGAGAACAACAAATGCAATATTATACATACTAGAAGTAGAATGCATGGACAAAGATTATGTCTAAATGACTGATTTCCCTGAGGCCATTAGCCATTCACACCCACAGGGGCAGGGTCATTTGAGTAGATAATTTCATTTCAGAACACATGGATGTGTGGGATTGGGTTTTGCTCTGTAACTAGTTTTGTGCCGCCAGCCTTTTTGTCTCTTCTGTCTATTGTAGTGCTTCTTGCATATTTTCAATCAGAATCGGAACTTCTTGGGACCTGTCTGAGGAGGTCATAGACTTACACATATAATTTTGCATATGCTTGGATTGTGCTGCATTCAGAGCCTTACAGTTATAAGCAGATTTTACAAAGATCATCCCTCCTTGTATCTACCATTTTTATTAGGCAATCAGATTTTTGAACAAAATGAAAAAATTCACCACTGGTCAAGATGAACAGAGGTTTGGATCATGGGAACCATCAGCACTGTGAATACATATTCAAATGTGCTTAAATTTCTGTGTCGTTGAATTGAATTTTAAGTCACAAGCTATATTAATGGTTCTGTTATTTTGTTTTTAATCATACCATAAGTCTCATTAAAGCTTTATTACAGCCTTACAATACTTTTGTTTCTAGTCTGTGACATTGTTCCTCTTAGACTACTTTGAGGCATTGCCAGTTTGATTAGAATTTTATTTAGAGCCTCAGAACAGCTGCACCAGGTTCAGCAGTAAATGCAAATGATGAATATATTTACAGCATAAACAGAGTGGTGATAAGCCACTTTGTTGCTCTGTTTGATTCTTTGAGAACGCAGCAGCAACATAGCAGGGCTGCCTTCTTCCTGACCTTTTATAATTGTTCTTTAATGCAGTTAGAATTTATATCTTTATAGCATTTAATGGAAGCACGTATTTTATTTGTTATCTTGAATCTCGGTAGATTTTTAAGTGATTTGTTAACTACATAAAGATAGACTATATTCTCTAAATATAGACTGAAAACAAGCATAACAGTTAGAGAACAGCAATGTAAAAGTAACTTGCACACAGTACAGTGCAACACAATAATAAATAATTTGGGGAGAAAATTGCACGAACAGTTTCAAGAAGCTTCAGAATATTTAATGTATGAAAAAAGTAGACATTGCTTACTGAGCCATCATCTTAAAATTCCACATAAATTTTCTTGTGTACTTTTATGTGCACACTCCTGTATGCAGGCTCTGACATAGTATCTGCATTCTCCACAGACAGTCTTGTATTGCAGACTTATTAACAAAGACCTTTCCTTTCTTCCTTCCTGCCTGCCTGCCTGCCTGCCTCCCTCCACCCCGCCCCTCTTTTTTCTTTCAGGGAGATTGGTTGCATTATCAGGTCACTGGGTTGCTTCCCAAATGAGGCAGAAGTACAGGAACTGCTTGCACAGGTAAATGTTTAGATCTCTTGTGTTTTTTTCAGTCTTCAACTCACACAAGTTTGGCCCTTCTGCCTTGCTGAATGGGAAACCTGAACTCTTTTCCAAGATATTGGAAGTGTTATGGAAGTGTTTCTAGCAGACATGCAGTCTTGCAGGTTGCTCTGAAGCAAACCTTTAGGTTGATGAGGTAAGAATATTGATGGGTTGAAATGAGGAGTCTTTGACTCTCTTTTACCCAAAGGGGCATTGTGACACTGTGCCAAGGTGCAGGGACATTTATAGAAAATGGAGGAAAATTTGGTTTTGATTGATGAAACAGAATGCCCTAAATGTCACTCAGATATCCAAACTCTAACCATCTCACTCTTCTGGACATGTAATGGAAACACATTGCAGGGTTAGGTAGTAAAAATTAGTACTTGAGCAGGTGTTAAAATTATACATCACATTCTGAAAATACTCAGAGGGAAGGCCTGCCTTTTTTTTTTTAACTAGGTCCTGGTATTGCTATCTTATATCCAGACCTTTCAATATTCTGTCCTTCATGAGGTCTTTTTCAGTCTTGAGATTTCTGAGTGAGAATCTTTTCTTACTTGATTACTTAAGCTTGTAAATCAGGTTTCAGGACATAAAACTTCACAAGACCTAGTGATCCTCTCATTCTCCCAATGATAGGCAGTGGTAAGGTAAGGAAATTTATCACATTTCTCCACAGTCTTTTCCTACATTAATTTTTGTCTCCTTACATCTTGCTTATAATAGAAAAGTGGTGTGCTGGTGCCTTGGCGTGGTGTGGTTAATAAATAGGATGAAGGAAGTGAGAAAAAGACTTCACATTCTTTTTGCAAAGGGGCATGCTGCTTTAAGGAGTGGACAGTGGTGGAGCTGAGAGGTGGGGTAAGGTTTTTTCACCTTTTCATGTGTAGGTCAGGATACTGGGAATTGATGTCTCTTACTGTTTTCTTCTTGCTCCAACAGAAATTTGAATAGTTGCAGTGTAGTCTCTCCTCACTAGGCTTGTCTGGTGTCTTGTAGGTCAGAATTTAGTGTGAGAAATCTTGCACTAAGTCTTGTGAAAATGATGCAGCTGCTTCAGATGAGGAAGTGCAAAGAACCATCAGAGGAGAAAGCTCTTTTAACACGACTATGCAGTCTGTCTGCTCTGGTTTTGTACTCTCAGAACTGGATTGTCCCAACTCCTACTGACAAACAAGAGAAAATGGAAAGAGAAATTGTGGTGCTTAATATAGATGATATTTTTAGTGTCCCACAGTGACTTTTCTTTATAGCAAATGAACAGTGCAACTCCTCACTGAGGATACAGATTTGTGAACAGGGGATGCTTTGACCCATTCAAGTCCAGGGGAACCAGGAGAATTTAAGGCCTACCACTTCCTCTGGAAGTGATTGACTTTTTTTTTTCCAGTTTTCAATATTACTGAAAATGTGAGATAATTAATATATAAAAAGTACAATGCAATGTAGCCATGAGGTAGAAGATTCTTGAGATACAACAGTGTAACATGTATGAAAATGCTGATTGTAAAAATATTAAAGTACAAATACTGCAAGAAGAAAGAATACATTCAAGAGTAAGGTTAACCTTAAGAAATACTGCACACGAGAATAAATAGCAAAGAATGTTTCATGGTGTCTGTAAATTAAACTTTACTAGGTTGTTGTGGTTTTAAACCAATAACTAAGAAAATTACTTATTTCTTGCTGTGAGATATGGATTAGAACAAGAGCAAAACAGGCACAAAACTTAAAAGGAAAAAAAAAAGAAAGTTTATTGACAAACTACAATAAGAACACCAGAATAAACTTCCAGAAAAACCTTTTCATCCCCTGTCTACCCACTATTCCCTTGTTCACATGACAAAGAGACAAAAACTTTGGAACTTTGATGGTTAAAACAGTCCCAATTCTTGCTACAGTCTTTTCACCAGTCTTTATAGAGAAACAGAAGTTTCTTCCTGTTAATTTATGGAGTTTCTCACAAGAAAAACTATTTTTGTTATAGTTTTCCATTGCTCTAATGTTAGCTGCCCAGAGCTGCTGTTATTAGAGCCCACTCCTCCCATTTTCACATCACTCTCAAGTGTGTATGGGCCATGAGTCTAGGGATGGGATTTTTAAGGATAAGTTATTCAAAGGCAAAAGTCTTCTTCATCTGTTTCTGTGAGCTTCACCAGAAAACAGTTTTCTCATTGCCTCTCAAGGCTTCAAATCTTCCAGCACTTCACTGTATCATAATTACTCTACTTTTTTACTCAAAATTTACACTTTGAACACTCTATTCCTCCCTATTTACTGTCATGAATTAAAGGAGTGTTTTCAAGACCTTATTGTCCATTTCCATAGTTTTAACAGAAAGATATTTCAGCTTAATTAAAGCATCTTCTTAATTCTCTACCTTTTCTTTTCTTTCCTGTCACTAGTAGTTTATAAAGTCTCTTTTCATGTTGATCACTCTCTTTTCTCTGTCTGGATAAAAAGATTAATCCGCAAGTCTCATCTGGGAAATGAAAGAGTTAAAATCTTGCCCAGGCTGTTGTAGGTAGTTCTGTGGCCTCGGCCGGTGCAGGAGCTGGAGCCGTCTGCGATGGAAAGTTCCTCATGGCTGCTCTGGAGAGTGTAGGCGCCGCGCCCAGCCCGCTGCAGGTCCAGAGCCTCTCTCCTTCTTCACTCAGCAGTTTCTAGTGAATTTAGTTACAGCAAAAAACCTGCAGCCGAGCCAGAGATCGGCTCGGCCCGGCCCGGCCGGAGCCCGGAGAAAACTTTTTCCGCAGGGCCCGCATCTCCCGGCCGGGAGACGCTGGGCCCAGCCCAGTCCCCGCCCGGCCGCATGGCCTGGGCAGGGAACGGGAGGCCTGGAGCTCTGCCGCCCTTCCCAGCCAGGAAAACAAAGAGAACCAAGAGAGCTCTGGTTTTACACTTTAAGGTAGGGTTCACAAGTTGATCCCACTTTTCAATGGCCTAAACTGCTGTCAATTCTCAGCAATGACCGATAATTGGTCAGGAGAAAAGACGCCAGGCAGTTCCCAGCAACTTAAACTTTCTTAAAGGTAAAGTAACTCCATGACATAGGTTTAGTACCAGAAGAACACTGTCTTCATGTGGAACTCTTCATATATTATGATAATCACAGACATATCTTAATTTATGTAAGATGCCACTTTAATTGGCTGTGGTAATGTGTTTTTATCTTAATCTAGATAAGGTAAAAATTGTGTCTGTAAGCCAATTTGTAACCAAGCTATTTCCCCAGTATTGTTGCCCATTGTGAGCTGTGATTCATTTCTGTTTCTCACTACTTGTGTCTCCTCATCTCATCTTCCTATTAGTCTAAACTGGCACATGCTGCCATGCGTTATTCATATCTGCAAAATCAGCATTCATATTATTATGTTATCTCTATAAATTATCATAAAATGTTTCTTATATTGCCTTATACTCAATTCTGTACTTAATATCATATCTTAGGCCTCCTTACAAAGATAAGATTAAATGCTAAATCTAGAGATGGTGAAAACTAATCTATGGGTTACTACAATGCCTGGAATTCCATGCAGTGCTCTGCCTGGTAACTCTGGAAGATGTTTTTGTTTCTTTGTGTTTCAAGTGCCCCAATGTTATGGCTGGGAAAACAGAGATACAAAACATAATAGGTGCTGCAATACAGTTGTTATGGGAGATGTGGGTATACCCAAAGGAAAGAAGTAGAGTGACACTCACAGAGTCTGAACAAGCAAATACTGTTACTGTGAAAAGAGGAGGACAGACAGAAAAAGAAAAACATCAATAAGAATTGAGATGTAGAACAGGAATGAGCATGAGGAAGAGTAAGAAGTGTTAGAAATAGGACTGATTTTAAATGCTTAGGATGCTGCTGGATCTATACAGACTCCGAAAGGGAAGCTTTTTGTTCCACATCAGAGGAAGCTGAGGATGCTGATCACCTCTCAGGACTAGGTTTTGCCAGGCATTTTGTTACATCTTTTCAATCAAGCAAGCAGCAAAACAAGTCATTCTGTAATGGTAAAAGTTCCATTTGGTTTAGAATGAAGCATGCAACATCTTCATTTCCTTGCTAAAGATCCTTTCTGCTAGGCTCACCAAATAGAATGGAAAATATGTTTTTTCAAGCCAGTTTTCACTCTAAAGCAGCAAGATGTGATGGCTGTCTTCTCTTAGCACCCAACCCCCTTCCAGAACACTGGCAGAACACTGGCAAAGAGCATGCAGCAGCAGTTGCAGCTTTCCATTTAAGCAACTGGAAGTATCAGGAACTGCCCCAGCTCTGACCCAGCTCCCAGGAGGAAGACTCCTTACTAAGTTTTTCCTGGCTCAGTTAGAAGATTTCAAATCAGTGCCTGTTTGAGTTTTCTTTCAATCTGGACTGTGTCTCAGGGGGCCTAGCAAGGTGTTGCTGCTGCCATGTGAGACCTCAAGGCATGCATCCAGTTTCAACACAGACAGGAACAGGCTAGCTCCGCTAACAGGGCTCCTTTCGGGAGCAAAACTTAAAATTTTCAGGGAAGGGATACACCCCAATGACATAGAGCAGTTTTTACCTTGTTGCTTATCTTCTCTGGAAGTATAGGAATGGAGTGAGAATGGTGCTAGAAGTCCCCAGTGTTTTGGGACTAATTTGTCATTTATTTGGGAGGCAAAGGGAAGCCTTTTTTGGGTAGCATTTTATAGGCTGCCTTATGGCTGTTTCGGTCTGCCCTGACTCAGTCTGCCTACCTCTCTGGTCCTTCCCCTGACAACTCTCTTTGACTATGAAACATGAAAGCAAAAAATTCCATCATTAAGGTGCACTTGACTGGAGCTGTATCCAAGGTAGCCAATTAAATATGCTCAGAAACATCCTTGGGTGTTGAAGCCAAGTTGCACAGAGCAGCTCATGCCCACCCTGGTAAATGTTTTATGGAGAGTGGCTGCACCAACCATCCTGCTGGGGAAAAGTCCTGAAGGTCCAAGCTGGGATCTGCTGGGGGAAATGTTGGGTGGCACAGTTCAAAATCGTGCCAAGGGAACATGCTCATGGTTTGCTGTAATGGGGGTTCACATTACACTGCTTGGAAAGGCTCCAGATCCGGATAGACTTTACTAGTATGACTTCAGCCTGAATGTTTAAACCTCTGCTGAGTTATTGTGGAAGATAAAATCAGTTCCTCGGTGTCAGGTTCCTTTGCATGAATGGTTTTGAAGCACAAGAGGGCAATATTGAGTTGCTGCAAGTGTCTATAATAGCAGACCTGTATTTCCCTGGGATATTATCTCTTTCTCAAATCTCTTTCTATTTGATCACAAGCCTTTCACTCAGATGTTACAGTGCCATGTGATATAAAGATCTGATATAAATATTCAAAGTCTAATGCTGTAATTTTAATGCAGGGATCACCCCAATTTTCTGGTTTTTGGATTATTTTGATAATCAAGAGTCATATACCTTTCCACACTTAAGCTGGTCTTTTTTTAGATAGAAGTAGAAGAACCAGGTGGATTTGTTCATCTGGAAAAATTTCTTCCAGTGATGACAAAAGTTCTACTTGATAGAAGGTAATGGAAAGTGAATTTTATGTGTCTGTAGTTTATTCCAGATTGACAGAATTGATTCTGAATAAATATATCTACAGAAATTTTATGTAGCTGGAAGGAGTATAGATCTTCTTTGTCATTTAAATGTCATTTTAATATAGATTAAAATATAGATTTTGTTTCAAAATTAGTTTATCTACATTAAATTGTGCTGTACTGATGATATAAATAATATTAGCTTATATTAATAATATGTAGCTTTTGTATTTTTAATTGGAATCAGAATTGCTATTGTGTATCTCTGAAATATTTTGTATGCAAATGAAGGTAAAAACTATTGCTTTCTCTGAACATATGAGTTACATTTATTAAGAAGCACAGAGTGTTAATGTATTCTAAACAAGTTGTGTAAACAAGCTTCATATTTGTGTCTCAAAATGACTGCCAGGTACAGCTGAACATACACAATTAGTGCTCTAAAAGACTGCTGATCTAAAAGTGGTCACAAAGCATAGAGGTACATAGAAGTCTTTGCAGATACACAGGGACTTGTGCTCTTTTGACATTTTGCACTAAAGCAAGATTACTTACAAGGAGTTTATTTTTCATTTTAAAGATGGTAGTCAAGGCTTTTGAGAAACTCAGTCTTGTCCAATCCTGAAAAGTTATTTTGCACACACAGAGGGCCTTTGGTAGGAGAGTGTTCTGCACATAAAGTAGCTGTGGCTCCACATTGATGTTTACCCTTTCACAAAATGATGCCTTGCTTTTCTGGGCTCTCCTTCTCCTGCTGCATACTTCCTTCATGCAAAAACACACACACACACACACGCACACAAAAATACCCCCTGCACGCTTTCCCCAGGCTAGTGCAGGCTTGTCAAGACCCACTTCATCTTTTGGGGCACTGTGTCCATAGTTCATTTACGCAAGGGCACGTGAGATTTGGATCACAAAATCCAAGGCTTCTTAGCACATTTGATTTTTAGATAGCAAAAGACTGAGGCGGGTCTGGACAAAGCAGTCAAGCAGCTAAAACCGCCCTGGATTCAGCTCCTTCTCTTTAGTATTCTGGGGGTTTGGTGAGAGCCTGCTGGGATATGGAAGCTCTCCATTGCTGCACTGAGATTTCTTTCCAGCTCCGAAATCAAGCATGCATATGCATGCACACACGTGCCCAGTTCTTCCCTCTCTCTGAAATTGTTAGTGACAGACCTTTTCTTTTATAGCTACCAGCCTCCTTTGCTCATCATCAGCTCATTAGACTGCCCAAGTCCCACTAGGTGATCTGTTGCCTAGCTACCACCCTACCTGGACAAAACTTTGTTTTCTTGGTTTGTCCATTTCTGTTCAGTGCATTGGCTATGTAGAATGATTCATCTGTTGCTGATTCTTACTAACCCACCAAGCCAGCCCAGACATGCAGAAGACATTCATCTGGCTCCTCAGCACAAGGCTAATTAAACAGTAGTACAACAGAAGATGTAAAAGTTAAATATATGGACAGTTCCAAAAGGTCAGGCTGCAATTAAATGTTTGACAGACAAAACTTAGTAAATTCTCATAGAAAATAAGCTTTCCTTTTCTTTTAGTACTTGTATTTAGTTTTTTCAGAACACTGGTGGACAGTAACTTAACTTTTCTGATTCCATGGTTTCAGATTCCGGCCTATTCCAGAAGATGTTATTCTACATGCATTTGAGGTCTGTAATGAAATATTCAAGTACCTAATTGCTGGGAAAAGGTTGCTGCTTTTTGATACAATAGGCTTAAAACCACAAATTTTATTATTTTTCTTTAAAGGCTTTAGATGAGAATAAATGTGGATATATTACCAAAGAGGACCTGGTTAAACATTTGACTGAAGAAGGTAATGACTTCTGTAATATCTGTATTTAAGTAAAAAGCATTACATATGTGTATGGCACCTTGTGGTCCTTACCCTGCAGGCCAAAACCTGCAGGAGTAGATACATTGTCTTCAAACAATGCTGTTGCTGTGATGAGTGGCTGCAGACTAGGATATTTCACTGGTCAACGATGCAGAGAAAGACCATTTATCTGCCTGCTTGCAGACATTATAAAATAGAGATTTTTATTGTTATCCTTATTCATAATTCAGTCATGTCTGGATATTTTGTGATTCTGTGCACACCTCTGTGATCACTAAGTATGTGACTCTTTTGCTGTCCTGTTAAATTGCAGCTTAGATTTCCGGATGTTTCAGTTGTTTCAGTGCTCATTCATTCTTACATTATCTTGATCTTAATTCTAGAGCCGCATGCAAACAAAGAGATTCAAAGACAAGATTTAAGTTGTACATTCTGTAATCCTCAATATCTCTTGAAGAGCCTGCTTTTCTTGTGTGGCTGACTCATGCACACCTGCCTCATGTTCAAAAGGGTGTGCAGGCTTTGTGCAAGACCTAGCTTCAGATGGTAACCTGGTTTTCTGAGGGATGAAGTAGGCCATCAACAGCTTTGAAGAGAAAAAACAGAAGTCTTCCATGATGTGAATATAAGTGTAAGGATAGCCAAATAAGAGAAAATAATTCTAATGTACACAAGATAAAAACTCTAACAAAAATGGTTGTTTCAAAATCCATGACAGAGAGGAACAGGCTGTTATGGTGTCTGGGAACTAGAAGATCAGATAGATCCAGATCCTCTGTCTCCTTTCTTTTAGACTGGCTTACTTGGTGTGCAGGACTTAAATTGGCAAAAGGGAAGCAATAACATCCTTAGTTTTGTTCCTTTTCTCCTCTGTGTGAGAATCGAAGGAGATCCTTTCAGGGGAAAAGCTGTGGAGTTCGCTAGTCCTTGAAAGGATTCTTACCAAGACAAAGTGTTATTCTCTGTTGTCTTTCAGGTGAGCCCTTTACTCAGGAGGAAATGGAGGACATGCTTGCTGTTGCTCTAGATCCAGAAACAAATATTCTTCACTACAGAGACTACCGTACAAAGCTGGTAGTAGATGAAACTAAGACCTTCCCCTTTAATGTCTGAGATGCCTTTTGGTAACAGCACCATGGCTTGACAGATAGTTGAAATATGTATTTCAAAGTATAACAAAGCTCAGCTTGTGACTTGGTGCTTATAATTAAAATAAAATCTGTAGTTATGTTTCCTTGGCTTATGTGTGCGTGTGTGTGTATATATATGTATATACATATACATATAAAAATATATTCATACCTGTAGAAAGAGCTCTTGACTGTGTAAGGTCTAGAAAATAAAATAATGGAATTTTGTTGAAAAATAGCAGGAAAAATAATGTTAATGAAGTCAAGAAATAACTTTATGATTGCTTTTGAAAAACTAACAGAAAATGAGACCTGTGAAAACACATAATATGCAGGTAAGTGAGTATCTTAAGGTGACTAATACTAGTAAGATGAAGCTTTTATATTTAACTGTAATCCTTGTTTGTGTTTAACTAATAAGGAACCAGGTAGGTTATATATTTTGAAATATTATAATAGATCAAATGAACTTTTTATAATTTCTAGTGTTTTTCAAGTATTTGTGTTTTGTTTACCATAGGCTATTGAACTGGACCAGTTAGTTCCAGTTCATATTACTAATCCACTGTCATGGTATTTTGCTTTCATTTTAAACACGCAGGGAACACTCCAACCATTTCCATAGTCAACCTAATCCTTGAGAGCATTTTGGTTACTATAGGAAATGAACAGTTCCCCTTTTGTAATCAGTTTGAAAGTCAGTAATTTCAACTCTTCAAAACTTAGGATCACAGGATGAGAACTTGATTTTCATAAACTGATGAAGTACCATTTTTCGAAAGATGTTAGTGTAGAATGGATGTCTCAGCTTTTCTTCTAGCAGACCACCACAGATCTCACAGCTCTCCTCATTTCTGGTTTGATAATTTCCTGTTACTGTATGGCTGTTCTTTAACTTGAGTTCAGGTTCTTTCCTGTCCAGTTCTTGCTGTACATCATCTTCTAATAAGTGACCAGCAGCTGATGAGATCTCAGCTTGTAGGAGATTCTGTGTTTTGCTCCTCAAGAGTAGCATCTTGCACTTTGTACTCCACCTCATTTCTGTTTTACTACTCTCTATCAAGTTTGCTTTCTTCCTGTACTGTGTTCTATCTCTCCTTTGTCCCAACTGCATATTCCATCTCTGTGTCATCCACAGCCTTCATCAGCTGGTGAAACCCAGGGAAGACTGACACGGAGAGGCACTGAGTCCTTACTCCTTGTCATGCCCTTCTAGTGGCAACGCTGAGAATAGAGCCTAGGGCTCCTCCTCATGTCAGGTCTTTTGCACTGCCCATTTGTTTCTTTTGGGCTGGCAGCTCATACAAACTGCTTTCATGTGCAGCTACTAGTGATCTGCTGTGTTTCACAAAGAAAATATTAGTATGATCTAAATTGAGTGATGGAAGCAGTCTGAAAGAGACCATTTTTTGATTCACCCTTTACTTCTCTAACCCAAGTTGTCTTTCACTGATACTTGCTTAAACAGCAAGACAATGAAGAGTTAATGCAGGTAGACAACATTTGCACTGTTCTAAGCTGCAGCTGGGAAACACTGTTGCACTGCTCCTAAGACTCAGCCATGCACTCTGGTTAATACATTTACTACCTGTTCCACTTCATTGCCAGTGAAGGAAAAACAAAGGCTGTCATTAGTGTTATACTGGGGGAAGATACAGGTTTTTGAAGATTAAAGCAAGAGCAACAGAGGCCTATTAAGAAAGTATATTTTTATTAGCCTTCTTCAGTCTCTTTCAATGCTGAAATTATTTTCTGTAGATGAAACCTTCTTCCATTTAATGGAAGATGTGTTGATGTGTTGTACTGGACTTCTGAAACAGGTGATGTGAGTGCAAGTTTCATTCATATGCAGTCTTGGAGTCCTTGTCAGTGTCATCTTGGATATCAGCAGAAAGATGTTTATTTTAGGATATAATTTCATAGCTCCCAGTGCTCCAGAGAGAGCACAATTTGTTTCAAGCAGTGTTTCCCCAGAGGCTGCCTCAGCTGTTGCTGTGTCAAGTCAGGATGTCCATGTACAACACTTACAATTCATAGTGCAGATAGGATCTTAACAAACATTCTTTTATTATATATATATATATATATCAGTTCTCAAATGCAAGGAAAGAGGGTATTCTGGAAAGTAAAAAGTGTGATTGTGTCTGAATTTATTGTACAGCCGCTCTTCCAGTTCCATCTTCTTGTACCTGTCCCCAAGAAAGATATGTGCAAACAGGACAGACAAAAGCAGGTTGCAGTCTTATCTTTGGGCATAAGCAAGCAAATTTTATTGCTATAGAGTTTCAAACTGGGGGTGAAAGAATTGTCAAGAACCAACATCAGACTCTGTAGGATCCTAAAACCGGAGTGCACTCTGGCAGCTAGGATTAAATAGAGTGACCTGACAGGCTTCTGAAGCAGCTGTCACATAGGTCACCCCGGAAGAGTCTGAGCAGTAACCACACATGGCTGTTTCCTTGCCTGTGCCTTTCATCACTTGTCAGCCCATGGCCACCCTTTTCCCCATGGGGTGGTAGGCTGCATGAGGGACTGAATGCCCTGCTTCTCTGTGCTCCCTGGGGATGAGCAGAGACCCATATGCTAGGGAAAGGGAGGGGAGACTTAGGGAACCATTTTGGTGAAACTAAACCCCATCTTTGTTTCTAAATTTGAAGGGAAAAATATGTTACTTTGTCCTCTTCTTTGAGGTGAACAAATTGAACTGCTGAGTGGGCTTGAGCTGTCTCTTATTACGTGCCTCTCCCTGCTGGCTGTTTTGCCTCTTCCCTCAAGATCGGGAACCAAGGTAAGGGACCGGAACAAAAGGAGAAATCTCCAGGGAGGAACCAGTGTAGCACCTGGATTTCACACAGGGAAGTAGAGCCAAGGCATTGAAAAAATTAGGCAAGTCAGAGGGTTTTTTGACCTAATTGAAGGAGGGAGAGGGAAGGGAACTCATTATCCAGATGTGAAAAACAAAACAAAATTAAAAGAAGAAAAAGAAATGAAAGAAGCAAACACTGGAAACCATCTACACATACAACTGAATCAGCAGGCTGTTTACATCACTGCTGTGAGTTGTAGTCTGGACAAGACTTTACGTGTTTAAAATCTTAAGTAGGTTCAGCTGTGTCAGGTCTTACCTAGTGTATAGTGGAGCCCTCAGTCTTACTGATACTGTGGAGGAATTCTTCTAGCTGCTGAGCTTGTGCTTGGGAGTACAGTTGCTCATATTCCAGGTAATACATTGCTTTTTGTGTTTCCTTCATCAGCTTTGAAGTTGCTTCTCCAAAACACTCTTCTGTCTGTTATTGATAGTCCCATATATATTCACACCTGAAGACTTCAGTGTTTTCCCACTGCAATGCATACCAATGTGATATTTACAGCTGCTTGAGACTCTCCACTGGCTGTGGGCAGAAACAGAAGTTGCAGGACTTCCTTCACCAAAATACTAATGGGCCAGCATCAGACCTGGGACTCCAGGGAAAGAACTGGGTTCATCTGTGCACCTCCACCCATGACATCACACAGAGCCTGTAAAATGTTCAGGCTCTTAGCTCTGCTCACAGAATAAGAATTTTCTACCTTTTCCTTTTGTTTCAGTCAGTCTTTTCTTTTGGTTGTCTTATGTGTCATTTTATTAATACAGTTGCATGATATCTCATGAGGATTGAAAATTCAAGAGAGTTTTGCTTTGCTCCACACTGCTGATGCACTGCTGTACTCTCTGACAGCTGCCCATATCAGGGTGGGATTTATCACTGGATCTAGACTTGTTACCACTGAAATCAGTGTGGGCAAAGCCTTCATCACAGGCAACAGGAAGAGCCTGGGCCTTCAGTTTCATGGGGGAAAGTGGTTGGGGATGCTGGAGTTCAGTCAAGGCTGGGATAGGCATGGGAAGTTAGGATTGTTTATGACCAGTAATACTGTTATAATTGTGTGAAAGGGAGACAGCAGTCTTGACAATGACAGGTTTCATTGGCAGACAGGTTTCATTTTGGACTTCGTGAGAGGTATTGGAAGGTCACACAGTCTCTTGCTACGTGACCCTCTATGTATAAAGTCAGAGGAATTATAAAGACTAGGAGACAGGAAATATCAGTAAACTCACTAATTCTGTTTGCACAGTGTTTTGTACTATGACGGTCTGATTGAAATCAGTGCCTACAGAACTCCCTGTAACATAATTAATAAAGTTCTCAGACTTCAAGTCTTTTGTTCCAGACTGCATGTTGAGGTCTCAACTTCTAAACAGGTCAGTCCACATCAAGTATGTTTGTTTTTTATTGAACACAACTCTGCTTCATAGTATCTCATGTCATGATAGGTTTGACTATAAAATTAACTATTACAACATCTGCTCTTACTGTTGGAGGGTGTTTTTGGCAGGTCACTACTAGGCATGGGGACTATGCTGATTTAAAAGCTAAAGGAAGATGTAGGTGGAAACAAAGCAGATTCTCCCATTTAACCTATTTTGAATCCCTGGGGCTACTCTTTGGCTTAGTGTAGTTCTGAAAGCCACGAAAATATTACTCACTATGCTGAAAAGATTGATCACAGCATTTGTGTCCTAAGGCCCAAATCCTAAAGCTCATATTCAGAGAGAGCACCCATTGAATTTAAAGGGAATTCTGTCTACAGAAGAGCTTCAGAAAGAGTGATGCACTGGCTCACAAGGCACTGTAAAAACTTTTTAGTTTCTTTAAAGAAGACTTATCTGTCGAAGATCCAACAGAGATGTCAAATCAGCTTCAAGTTGTGCCATTGAAATGACCAAATCTATAAAACCATGGGTGTAAGTAGTTAATTCTTGTCTACAGTAATGCAAGCAAGAGTTAGCAAGAGTCATCATGCTTAAGCATGGCAGTGTAAAATTTTCTTTTCCTACTATTATTCTGGAGACACTGCAGCCTTAAAAACACACATATGTTGCTTCTGTGTTTTTGTATACTAAACCAATTCCTTTTATTCTAGACTCTGTTTCTTCTAGAA